TGCTACCAGGTTTTCCATGGTGGTGTCTAGCTTCAACTGACTCATGATTACTACAATCTCCACAAAACCCATTTTGATACTATTTACATTAGTTGAATTTACTAGGGATAGTGTGAATATAAAATATCTATGGGAAGTGAAGTTTAATGAATAGGCTCAGGAATAGCAATGTTTGAACGTTTAATATTCTTATAAATTTACTAGTCGAATGGAATGTAGTTAATGATGTGATTAATTATGATCCACAACGTGGTGAATTAGTCGATACGTGGTCGTACCTTATAAATTACAGCTTGTTTTATGTCAAAGATGGCCTCCCTACTGAATTTTTTAGTGGATTACGTAACATTCAGTTGAAAACCTTTCCTGTTACTGATAGTAAAATGATGTCACTGTAATTTTCACATTTACTCAGCTCTTCTTTCTTTTGTATCTTGATGAGGTATCACTCTTTTCAGATTGTCGGCAGCTGTTCTTTCTTCTATATCTTCCTGAATAGAACGTGAAGTATATTTACAGTTACTTCTATGTGTGACTTTGATGCTTCAGCTGGTATGTTGTCTGGTCCATTTCACACAATTACCGTTAGAATTTTATGATTGAATAACTTTGTAAATATTATGAAACAATCGCTCATTGTGTATTCGTTATTTTAAGTTTAACAAAATCATGGAATCTTTCCAAAATATATGAGGCACAGATGGATAGTAGCTAACAGTGGAATCCAGGACAAAGCGCGTTTCGTCCTATTTAGGACTCGTCGGCTAGATGTACCTGCATCTCAGAGTTGATGTTCACTCTGGGATTCGAATCCAGTACCATTCGCTTCAAACGCCATGGTGTTATCCACTTAGTTACTGAGTCCTGATAGCCACTTGCTTGTGCAATAGGATGAATTTAAATTCACCTTGTATTGTTTTACTTGAATCTTCCCATTGATGCTTGGGATTGAAATTGATTAGTCTCATATACTGGGTTCGAGTCCCAGGGTGAACATCAACTCTAAGATGCAGGTAGGTACATCCAGCTGACGAGTCCCAAATAGGACGAAACGCATGCCCTGGATTCCATTGCTAGTCACTATCCATCTTTCTTTATAATGCTTGTAAATTAAGGCAATATCGAGGCAATACTCACAGTATGCACATATGCCATTAAGAGACTGATCATTTGCAGTCCTAAACATCAATAGGAAGATTCAAGTTAAACAATCCAAAGTGAATTATAAGAGGCATAGTTAAAAAAAATCAATTTTATTTTGTAGTATTAATTTTATGTGAACACATAAATACTGGTACAAAACGGCACTGAATACTTATACTCCACATCCGGAGCCTTCGACATAAAGGTCTGATTCAGAATGCAGTGGAGCGACGTCAGAAGATGCAGTCCTATGGTAATCGGTGACCAATAATCGATTCATTCGTCATTTGTTCCCTCAGTGTACTGGAGCCCATATGTACCATTGATTTGGAATCAGTATTTTTCTAACTCCCTTAGTTGGACCCACCGTGTCTACCAACCCGGTTAAAGCATCAGACATTCACGTTTAGTGCTCTCTATTTCGTAAACAACAGTAATGCCACGAGAAGGCAGTGAGTAGGACTTCCCTGGTAGTGGCTGTATACTTGTGGCCTTGTGAGAACATTTCAAATGAGAGAGAGGAATCTTCCCACCCTCAGTCGTCACGAATCGTAATTGTTATACACTTGCATCTTAACAAAATACTAGTCAACATAGTAATGTATTTCTGTATATTTGATCATCTATAGAAATCACATTCATGAATATTCTTAGGTATCGACAAAATTTCAACGCTAAACAATTAGCTAAGAGATAATTCACACTAATTAACATTTAGATTATGTTAGGAAGTTGAATCCATGAAATAAATCGACAAGATTTGTAAGAAAATCAAATGAAAAGAGTTTCAAATTGCTATTAATCTTTGAAACAGTTAGTCTCTTTCATAAATTTAGATGATATGATGAAACGATCAAGATTCAATAAACTTATATGATATGTTAGCTCGACCATCTTCTACTGTCTCCAGTGATTTATTGCCTCACATCCGACATGGATTAGATCTACCAATCACGGCTTCTCACTAGAATTCCGAGAATTACCCCTTGAAGCTAGTCACTAATGAGCACATGATAACTATCAGTATATGGTTGTGGAGATTGTTGAGTTTTGATAAATAGATAGATATCAACACCGTTTGACGTCGGTTTAATGGTCTAGAGGTTAATCGTTCACGTGGGTGACTAGAGATCCTGGTTTCAAACCGTGTATGAGGAATCGTGGATATGAACTGCTGAGAAGTTCCATACTAGAACAAAAACGGCAGTTCAGTACTTCTAGCTTTCTAACAGTGCTCTAACATGATCTTGATCCAAATAGTTCATTACCATCAGACGATTAATTTTCACATTCTACAATGATTCACTCATTTGGTAGTTATTGTAAGTACTATATTTCATGATTTGACGATAATTGTACGACCCAAAATGATCATAAAAATGTATGATTGATTTGCTTAAAATCTAAATCCTGTCCATCGAATACTATATACGAATCTATTATTATTCATTTGTTGTTTCGAACCTCCCCCAAATGCCCTGGTATGGCCGAGAGTGGGAGAGTCCGCTCTCCCTCTCCAAATGATCTCACATGGTCACGCGTATACAGCCTCTGACAGGGAAGTCCTACTCACTACCTTCTCGTGGCGGGGGTGTTGTTTACGAAAATGAGAGGACGAAGAGCGAATGTCTGGCGCTTTAACTGGATCCCAAACCAATGGTGTTCATGGGCTGGCTCCAGTATCCTGAGAGAACAAATGGTGTATGAACCAATCGTTGATCACCGGCTTCCATGGGACTGCATCTCCTTATGATGCTCCACTATCTTGTGGGTCAGACCTTTAGATCGAAGGCTCGGGGTGTGGCTCCCTAAGAAAACCACCTACTTCGGTTTGGGCACCCGGTCAGTATCACAGCCCTCCTTGTACCAATATCTATGTGTTAAAATAAATAAATAAATGTTTCGAACCACCATTCTGTAGACTAAATACAATTGTCTGACTACTGAATAGTATAACTAAAAATGATCCAACTCTGTTTTTAGTGGATACCCCTTCAGCAGACATTTGTAGGATATTCGAATTTCTATTTCACAGATAATTCTGTTTTATATCATTTTTGCTATAAATCTTAGCAACGATAATTATTATAAGCAGAGATGTATGAAGGTTATTAGTGGAATGTAAGACTCGTCAGTTGGTTGAAGCTGCATCTCAAAGTCCATGTTCACTTAGAAACTTGAACCCATTAGTGATTGCTTCGAATATCATTGTGTTACCCACTTAGCAACTAAGTTTAATGAGTCACTATTTTGTAAAATGAGTTAAAGTTTTAAATCATTTTTATATTGGTTGCCATCCTAATCATCAATAAGAAGATTTAAATGACAATTCTAATCGTTTAGTTTAGTTCTCATGATGTTTAGATGATGGTTGATTATCAAGATACAAATGAATGACTTGATTATTTTTCATAATGTTTACTTCTTGAAGGTACTTTTGTACTTTCCTATCCTTTTGCATAAATTATATTCAATGTTATACGGCGTGGATCAGAAAAGAAAGTGCAGTACATTTACAACTGAAGAACATCTCGAACTCAAAACTACTGTCTGTCAAACAACACCAAATTCAGAATTTTCAATACAAATATCAAGACAGTTCTATTGTATGGGGTCGAAACCTGGAGAACTACAAAAGCCATTTTCCAAAAGATACAGGTGTTTATTAACAGTTGTCTACGCAAAATACTTCAGATCCGCTGGCCGGATACTATAAGCAACAACCTACTGTGGGAGAGAACAAATCAGATCCCAGTGGATGAATAAATCAGGAAGAAACGCTGGAAGTGGATAGGACACACATTGAGGAAAGCATCGAACTGCGTCACAAGACAAGCCCTCACATAGAATCCTCAAGGCCAAAGAACAAATCACTCCGGGAAATAGAGATAGACATGAGAAAAATGAACATGAAATGGATGAAACTAGAAAAGAAGGCCCAGAACAGAATGGGTTGGAGAATGCTGGTCAGCGGCCTATACTCCATTAGGAGTAACAGGCGTATGTAAGTAAGTCAGTAAGTAAGTATATTCAATGTTATATACCTGTTTCTACTTCAGTATTCAAATACCTAATTGATCATTTGTTTGAAATCATAGTGTTTTTATATGAACTAGATTTTGTATTACAATAATTCAGTGTAATGTTCTGTAGGAAAAAAAAACTGCATAGCATTACATTTGGTCTACATCCTTGATATAGATATCACATCATTATCAAAAAAATGAATCACTATTATCTACATGACAGTTTGTTCATATTCAATGTGATTGTGATGATACTTTACGAACTTCATATAGATGAATTCATATATATAATATGAGAAGGGGTTTTGTGGAGATTGTAGTAATTTCAATGGTTAAGATCATGAGTCAGTTGAAGTTAGACACCACCATGGAAAACCTGGAAGCACTGGAAGGCCGTTTCGTCCTATTGTGGGACTCTTCCTTGGCAGTCCACATTCACGACCTCGCCCCCTGCGAGATTCGAACCCATGACCTCCTGGTTTCGCGCGTGAGCACTTAACCACTAGATCACTGAGCTGGCCGGCATCCATCGGTGTTAATGTCTAACTTCAACTAATCCACGAAATTGAGCGACTGGTTTTTCATGGTGGTCTTGCTTCAACTGACTTATGATCTTAATCATATATATAAGCCGATGAATATCTATTTGTCTGTATTTTGAATTTTGGATAAAAATTCAAAATAGAAACATATTGATTATCGATTATCATCTTCTTTTTTTTTTATCGTTGTCATTAATGGCGACCTACTTGAATATCGGGACTATCTGTTCCTTTCATCGATCTAAATATTTCAACAAGTTCTCTGTACATCAACTTCATTGATTATGAGAAGGCATTTGACAGTGTAGATAGAAGAACGTTATGGAAACTTCTTCGACACTAAAGAGTTCCTGAGAAGATTGTCAACACTATCCAAAACTCATACGACGGACTAAAGTGCAAAGTCGTGTATGGAGGACAGATGACAGATGCATTACAAGTAAGGATCGGAATCATACAAGGCTGCTTACTCTCTCCTTCCTCTTTCTTCTGGTGGTCGACTGGATGATGAAGGCTTCGATATCTGAGGGAAAACATGACATACAATGGACAGCTCGGAACCAATTAAACGATTTGGACTTCGCACATGACCTAGCCCTCCAATCGCATACACACGTACAAATGCAGATAAAGACAGCCAGCATAGCAGCAGTCTCTGCATCAGTAGGCCTCAACATACACAATGGGGCAAAATCAAGATCGTCAAATACAACATGGAGAACAGCAAACCAATCATTCTTGATGGCGAAACTCTGGGAGATGTGGAATCCTTCACATACACCTGGGAAGCATCATCGATGCACAAGGAGGTTCAGATGCAGACGTAATGGTGAGGATTGGCAAAGCAAGAACAGCATTCCTTCAGTTGATGAACATATGGGACTCAAAACAACTTTCAACCAATATTAAAGTCAGAATCTTCAATACGAAAGTCAACACAGTTATTTCTATTGTGGCGAACTACAACAACCACCATCATCAAGAAGGTACAAGTATTTATCAATAGCTATCTACGCAAGATACTGAACATCCATTGGCCGGATAACACCAGCAACAGCCTTTTGTGGGAGAGAACCAACCAGCTTCCAGCTGAAGAGGAAATTAGGAAAAGACGATAGAAATGGATCGAACATACATTAAGGAAATCACGAAACTGGATCACGAGACAAGCGCTAACTTGGAATCCTGAAGGAAAGGGGAAAATCTGAAGGCCAAAGAACACATTACGTCGGGAAATAGAAGCAAATATGAAAAGGATGAATAAGAACTGGAAAGAATTGGAAAGGATTGCCCATGACAAGGTTGTATGGAGAAAGCTGGTGAGGTGCCTATGCTCCTTCACGAGCAGTAACAGACGTAAGTAAATAAGTAAGTTTATTACATCATTATGTCTATTAATTGCTTAACCTATTCAGCTATGTTTCTGAATAGTGTACCATCTTTCAATTCACTTACTGTTATTTTACTTGTATCTTTTTATTGTTATTTAGAACTACAATTGATCAGTCTCATGTTGGCATATGTACATCCTGTACAGATTGCCTTGATATAGCTTTGAGATGAATAATGGCTAGCTGTGGAATCCACAAGGCACGTTTCATCCACCATCAAATGAATTTAAACTTCATCCCATTTCACAAACAATTGGCTATCAGAACTCTGTAGTTAAGTGGATAACACGATGGCGTATACTGGGTTCGAGTCCTAAAGTGAACATTAAGTCTAAAATGCAGATACATTCAACTGACAAGTCCCAAATAGAACGAAATGCTTGTCTTCCATTCCACTACTAGCCTTTTGTTGTACAAGTTACAAAAAACACCTAGTCACGGATATTGTTGTTTACTGGCAATATGTCAATTGACTAGACTGTTAACATCTAACTAACAATCATTCAATATTATCAGAAAGGGTTTTGTGGAGATTGTAGTAATTTCAATGGTTAAAATCATGAGTCAGTTGAAGATAGACACTACCATGGAAAACCTGGGTTCGAATCTTGCAGGGGGCAAGGTCGTGGATGCGTACTGTCAAGGAGGAGTCCCATAACAAGACGAAACGGCCATTCAGTGCTTCCAGGTTTTCCATGATGATGATCTAGCTTCAACTGACTCATCATCTTAATCATTGAAATCAGTCCATAGGTTATCATCAGGATCAATCAAGAAGTCAAAAGAAAAGAGAGGAAAGAAAGAGAAACTTATTGAAATACTTTATACTGTCAATACTATAGTGTACCAAAAAAAAAAAAAAAAAAAGAAACTACATCAAATTACTAAACATAAGTACTTTCATCATTAAAACTGTATACCTTTCATGGACTTAGATACAATCAAATCAATAATTGATTTTGTAATAATCATAATTGATTAATCATTAATTTTTAATGTCATTTCTAATGGTGTTATAGCTATTGGATAAAATTTATGCCATTTTGATATAATTTGATCTGTTGTTGTTAATACACGTTTCCAATGTTCTAATTCATCAATACTTGTATTATATTTACCTAAATGATAGATACAATGAGTTAGTATAGAGATAACAATGAAAAACAACAACAACAACAACAACAACAACAAAAAGTGTTTGATGAATTAAATGAGTCTGTCTAAAGTTTCATGTTGAAATGGTGAAGAAGATTTGTAGGTAAGATGAATGATTTTGATGAAGTTTTGTTCTCTAAGATGGATGATTTACTTGTGGAGCTTTCATCGTTCTTCTACGGAACGATATCATCAGTATCATGTTACATTGATATGTTTTTAGATAAGTTTAATAATTCTGATATAGGATAACAAAAGAACTATATGTTAACATAATGTTACTGTTACCTTCAACGGAGTATAGGTCGCCAACTGGCATTCTTTAACACACTCTGTACTTGGCCTTCTTTTCTGATTAGCGTTTTTTAGAGAGTTAGTTTTTTACGGGATAGGGTCACTAACCGCATGTCCAACCCTTCTCCTTTATCTGTGCTTCGGAACGGCAGTAGCCTCCGGAGAGACTCCAGGAGGAGTTTTGACTTTGTTGGCTTATGCCAACAAAGTTTTATACAATCTTTGTTCATTATTTTCATGTCTGTCTCCACTTCAACGCATAATGTGTTCTTTTGAATTCCTATTCTCTTTTATTCCGCTTTGAGGATTCCAAGTGAGAATGAGGGCTTGACTTGTGACACAGTTCGGTGCATTCCTCAATGTGTGTCCTATACCACTTCCATCGCTTCTTTCTGATTTCTTTCTCCACTGGGATCTGATTTGTTCTCTCCCATATTAGGTTGTTGCTAATAGTGTCTGGACAACGGATTCAAAGTATTTTGCGTAGACAGCTGTTAATAAACACCTGTATCTTCTGGATGATGGCTTTTGTAGTTCTCCAGGTTTCGACCGCATACAGTAAAACTGTTTTGACATTAGTATTGAAAATTCTGATCTTGTAGTTGGCTGCCAATTGTTTTGAGTTGCAGATATTCTTCAGTTGTAAATATGCTGCTCTTGCTTTTTCGATCCGTGCCTTCACATCTGCATCAGATCTACTGTGTTCATCGATGAAACTGCCAAAATATGTAAGGGTTGTTACATTTTCCGAATCTCCTCCGTCAATTGTGATTGAATTAGTGCATGCTGTGTTGTAACAGAGAATCTTGCTTTTCCCTTTGTGTATATTGAGACCTATTGCTTCTGAGGCTTCTGCTACACTGTTCATCTTCTCTTTTATTTGTTGTTGTGTTTGCGTTAGAAGAGCCAGATCGTCCGCAAAGTCTAGATTGTGTTACTATAAACACTATCATAATATTAAGATAATGGAGAAGATTTGTAGCTCCGGTGAATGATTTCGATGGATTTTTATTCTCCGAGCTGGATGGTTTATTCTGATGATGTTGTTCAGAATAAGAATGAAAGCTCCAAGACTAAATCATCCAGATCAGTGAACAAAACTTCATCAAAAACTAACACAATATACTGACTGAACCATGGAGTCATAACACTTATTAGATAAACATACTTGATGATTTAAACATTAAAACATCGTTCAACATAAGTAAAAGTTGATTGAAAGTTTTCAGTTCTCTACTTCTAATACCTTGCTTTAATCTTCCGGAGTATGAATTACTTACTTACTTATTAACTTACTTACGTCTGTTACCCCTAATTAAGTATAGGCAGCGGACCAACATTCTCCAATATTTTTGATGGAGTTTTGTTCTCTGAGCTGGATGGTTTAGTCGTGGAGCTTTCATCGTTCTTCTGAACGAAATCATCATCAGCACAAACTTTAGATGGAAGTGAAGTGTTCGAATTTCTCCATATGTGTTTCACAGTTTGTTCTGTACACCTCGATGTGGATTAGTTCTTATTAACCTTAAATTTGTCATTGTTTACTTTTTTGTCTTGGTTTTGTCTCCTATTGGTTTGATTCTTCTTCCTATATGTGTGCATAAGTTTCCTGATTGGTTGACAAATTGGATCGATTTCAATATGTTTGTGTTGATTGCTGATTGACTTGAGTGCCAGACTTCCAAAAAGTTCTCTTGTGTTTTTTGGAATTTCCTCTGTCCTCGATTTCCACATTTTTCCAATCCAATGTGTGTCCGCAGTTGTGCACATGTATTGATATAAGTGAGGAGATATCATGCCGTTTGACTGCTAATTGATGTTCATGTAGGCGCAGGTGAAGGGGGCGTCCGCTTTGTCCGATGTAGTGTTTGTCGCAGTTGACACAATTTATTTTGTAGATGATGTTCTCACAATTGATTGATCACTGGGTTGTGACCAATGTCATGCGTGTCTATTCCTTATTATTAGTGCAGATCGAATGCTATCGATCATGTTGTAATGTGGCCACCAATCTAGGTGACTCGTCACCGCGGGCACTATTGTAAGGTTAGATGGTGATTGGAGGTGGTCGATAGGAAACCCTGGATCCGGGTTTCTTGCTACTTGGAAATCGTCAACAAGGTGTACCTGTAATATTTGAGGAAACTGATGCTCCGTGGCGGATTCGATCCCGTGTCACCCAGCTTCACAGTCAGAGGCGTTACCACTGGGCTATCCGGGTCCTAGAGGTTCGATTAATCTTCTTTTGTTATTTCATCCTTTGGTTTGCATAGAATTGACAAAATCACTACAGTCAACCTATGCACATTCTTTTCAAATCCTAAAATGTCTATGAATGACTAATTTTATTTATAAAAGATTAGAAGAGCGGTATCTATTTATTTATTTGTTTTCACACATAGATATTGGTTCAAGGAGGTACCAAATACATATGCGCCACACAAATCTCATTTGACATGTGTGAGGGCTGTGATACTTCACGGGTGCCCAAATCGAAGTAGACGATTTTCTTAGGGGGCCCCTCTTCGAGCCTTAGACCTAAAGATCTGATTCACAGGACAGTAGAGCATCGTAAGGAGATGCAGTCCCATAGTAGCTGGTGATCAACGATTGGTTCATACGCCATTTGTTCACTAAGGATACTGGAGCCATCTCATGTGCACCATGGGTTTGGGATCCGCTTAAAGTGTCGGACATTTCCTTATCGTCCTCTCATTTTCGTAAACAACAGTAATGCCACAAGAATGCAGTGAGTAGGAATTCCCTGACAGAGGCTATATACGCGTGGTCGTGTGAGAATAATTCGAGAGGGAGAGCGAACGTAGCCCACTCTCTGCCGTACAAGGGCATTTCGGGACAGAATAGTATAGCGGTACTGTAAATCATCAGTTGGTGACATTATTATAAATCTCCATTCATTTATATACATAATGTCTTAAATTATCAACGTTAAAAAATACTGAAAAATTATGCATAGAATAGCTAAATCATTTCATTCACATACAAGATAAGTGGGTTATTTTCAACTTGAGGTATTCTAAAGACTTTCAAGGCTAATATTCATGTATTTTACTCGTTTCCTACAAATAAGACATAGTATCAGAAGGGGTCTTGTGAATATAATGGTAATTTCAATAGTTAAGATCATTATCTAATTAATGTTAAACCACTATGGAAAACCTGGAAGAAATTGAACACCGTTTCGTTCGATTGTAGGACTCCTCAGCAGTGCTCATCCATGATCCCACCTCGCGAGGTTTAAACCCAGGACTTATCAGTCTCGCCTAATCACTAGACCACTGAGCCGGCCGGCATTCAATGATGTTAATCTCTAACTTCAACTAATCCACAAAATTGAGCGACAGATCCACCATTGTCATCAGTGAGTTGCCATCTCAAAACAGAACCGGTTAAACTCTACTGGTTACTGCCTCTCACCAGAACTCTCGGATATACATCTTGAAGCCAGTCACTAGTGAGCATATGTTTATGAATATCAGAAGGGGTTTGTTGAAGATTGTAGTAATTTCAATGGTTATAATCATGAGTAAGTTGATAGTTAAACACCACTATGGAAAACCTGAAGGCACTGAATGGCCGTTTCGTCCCATTGTGAAACTCCTCAGCAGTGCGCATATATATATGGCATATTTCAATCTCAATTGAGTGCCAATATCATTTAGTTGATTTTGATTATATCACTGTATCATTAAGTAAATTTAAAATTAAAATGGTTTACTGTAATAGTTACAAGATAGATAGCTCCTCAGTGGTTGACAGTAAACATATATATGTATATAAATAAGTTCATAATCATTTCTCAGCTAATAAAATGCTTCCTCCTCAATCTTCTTACTCGTATTAGAATCTGATTCAATGAAACAATTGATAAGTCTTGTGAATTTAAACGCTATTCTTAAAACCCCTAAGCTAAAACAAATGATACAACGACCTAAGCACGAGATAGAAGGCGCAAAGTATACGAAAAGTACTTTACTCCGAAGTTCATTTTAATACAGACAACAGAGGGTTTTTATAATATTCTAAATGTTCTTGGGTTGCTCGAAGATTCTGGAATACTACCTAAACATAGTAACAGTATAACAATCAATCAATCAGAACCTCTACATGTGATGTTTCTCAACCTTTGATGTTTTCTGGCTAAACCTTCAAATGAACGCTGATTGGATGAAATATTTCTTAGTGTTTTCCTGATTCTTAGATGTCTTTTGCAAAGATTTTTCTGGATCATCGCAACAACAATTGTTGGGGTATTCAGAAATTCACCCCAGAAATTATCTAATGCTATTCCTGAATGAGAAGTAGTGTCATTTCCCCATTGGTCAACATTCTTCCAACGTGTCATCTCCTTATTGGTCAATATTTATTTGTGTCACTTCCTGAAGGTTAAATCTTGTATAAATGTTACTTTCTATTTATGGTACGATGTAGTCTGTTTGATTGGTATATAAACAGTGTATGTTTGAAATAATATAATGATTCATATCACCGAGGCTGAGACTTGTGTTCTGGACTCAATTGGCTGGGCTAGACTGGGAAGCAGGACCAATCAGAACTCTAGGCTGCTCGGTCGTATTTTGTGCGTCACTGTTTCGATCGATAATAGGCTGCTCTCTAATAGGCGGATCACACGTTATAACAACAATAAACTTATCAACCATGTTGAAATCATAAATCCATTAAAGTTAGACACCACCATGGAAAACCTGGAAGCATTGGATCACCGTTTTGTCCTAGTATGAGACTCCTCCTTCGCAGTGCGCATCCACGATCTACATCCTTGCGAGATTCGAACCCAGTGCTTCCAGGTTTTCCATGGTAGTTTAGCTTCAATGGATTCATGATTTCAATCAGCGAAATTTCTAAAATCTTCACATAATCCCTTCTGATTATCAACCTTATGTTAAACATTAAATAACACTTATCTAACCCTTGTTCCCTTTTAGGAAGTCCCTAATTTTATATCAGTCAGTCAGTCAGTCAGCTGCAACGTGGGACCAGGCACGTATATGCATCGGTCCAAGTTGCCATACCGCATTAGCACAACAAGATGAACACCGGATTCATAGGAGTAGTTAATTCAGTGGTGGTAATATATAGAAGAAAGATTGCATATAAGGAGATAGTACAGGAAGAAAGAATTAGTTCCTAGACAGATATGAAGCGATTTTAATCTCTTAATTTAAGGAAGACAGAGAGTGTATACACCAACGCCATTGTGATCGATTCTGAGCCATGTCACCAAGAGTCTCCAACTATTGGTTACGATAGTCGCGCGGACCCCAACCAAGTAGTCTGCATCTACCAACATGGCTCAGACCAGAAGTTAGTGACTTCAAGTACTGATGCCACTTTTTTGTTTGACCGCTTCTAACTTTCTTCCAATTATCCCCTGCACTAGTCAGCATTGCGCGTCGTGGTAATCGGTGTTCAAGCATACGCAGCACGCGGCCTAACTATCTCAGTCGATGAAGATTCATAATCTCATCAACTGATTTACCATCATTCCCTAGTACTCTGCGTCTAACCTCACTATTACTTACCCGGTGATCCCAGCAGATACCCGCAATATTTCTAAGGCATCTGTGGTCAAATACTAGTAACTTACGAATATCTTCTACTCTTAAAGGCCATGTTTCGCAGCCGTATAGTAGAACGGAACGAACTGCCGCGCAGTATACTCGCCTTCGCCATAGATGACGTAAGTTGGCAAAGGCTAAACGAGCTTTTCGAATCCTTACTGAGATTTCGTCAGACACCAACCCATTAGGGCTGATCAGACTTCCAAGATAAGTGAAGTTGTCAACGCGTTCGACTACTTCACTCCCTATCCTTAGTTCAGGTGTTGATGCAGACCAATCCTGAAGCAACAACTTACATTTAGAGGGAGAAAAGCGCATCCCAAACATTCTAGCATTGTTGCTCAGTGCTTCCAAAAGACTCTGCATTTCATCAGCGTCTTCACCAAACAGGACTATGTCATCTGCGTATTCTAAGTCAATAAGTGAACCTCCTGGTAGGAGATCAATACCTGAGAATTCAGTCGATGCGAGCGTTATTTCCATCAGGATATCTATGATAAAGTTAAACAAAAAAAGGACAAAATGGACAGCCTTGATGGACCCCACTTGAGGTTGTAAAAGCAGATAACAGTCCGTCATAAACTCTGACCCGACTAATAGTGTTCGAGTAAAACCCCTTCACAAGGTTTATGTACTTTTGAAGGAACACCTTTCAATGACAGACAGTATCATAGAACCATTCGATCAACAGAGTTAAACGCTACTTTTAAATCAAACAATACCACCATTGTCATTTTAATATTCAACTTACCTATTTTACATGTTCCAATTATAATTCGTTTATGAAATGGATTTTTTTTATATAATAAAAATTCTATAGTGATTTGATTTAATTGATATGGTTTTATATAAAATGCAAATGTTTCATTGATATGAATGATAGATTGTTTATAATAATATGCACTATGGGCTTTATTGATGCAACCATCTTGTTCTGTTCTAATAAATAATTGAATATAAATATCTAAGAAAAGAAATAATGAAATGATAAAGATGATTTATAGCTTAGATAGATGATTTTGATTGGGTTGGATGATTGTTTAGTTGTGGAACATTCATCGTTGAAAGATCTATGACTAAATGATCATCTAGCCTATGAGAACAATAGTCTATGTAAGTTATGGAAATAGCTATCATGATTAACTTGATAAGAACAAATGAACAAGTGATACAGTTTTACACATAGGATTTACTTCTAGTGGATTATAGACTATCAACCAGCATTCTTTAACCCTCTTCTTCCTTTATTTAACTTTGAGGATTCCATGTGAGAACTTGTCTTGTGATGCAGTTCGGTGCTATCCTTAATATGTATCCTGTCCACTTCTAGCGTTTCCTCTTGATTTCCTTCTCTGTTTGTTCTCTCTCATAGTAGGTTGTTGCTAATAGTGTCTGATTAACGGATCCGAAATATTTTGCGTAAACAACTGTTAATAAACACTTGTATCTACCGGATATTTGAAAGCTGGCTCATATCACATCAATCTTCAAAGGAGGTAGACGCATCTAACCTTCAAGTTACCGACCGGTCGTTTTTCTCTCTATACCTTCAAAGATCATGGAGTCCCTGGTTTACGATGGTATACATGACTATCTGCTGTCCTTAAATTTCTTCTCAACCCAACAGCATAGTTTCAGGAAGGGTTACTCCTGTATGACGAACTTGCTGACTGCGGTGGACAGATGGACAAGCATCGTTGATCGCAAGGGGAAGGGGGACATCATTTATCTTGATTTCTCTAAAGCTTTTGATAGGGTGAACCACATCTATCTTATTAGCGAGCTCAAACAATTGGGTATCAAACCTTCCTTAATTGACTGGCTCAGTTCATATCTGACAAATCGACATTTCAAGGTCAGGGTAAACTTTAATTTCTCAAAGGCTATGGAATGTCGTAGTGGGGTCTCTTTCAGGGCTCAGTACTAGGACCTCTTCTCTTCCTGATTTATATAAATGATCTTCCTCAACAGGTAACGTCAGACATACTGCTCTTTGCCGGTGACGTGAAACTTTGGAGAGAGATACGCAACCAAGACGATATACAGGCACTTCAGGAGGATCTGACTCGACTTCAAAGTTGGGCAGACGATAACGGACTTACCTTTAACACCTCAAAGTGTAAAGTAGTCCATCTGCGACACGTCGCAGATTACAGTTACAACTTAGGAAACTCCTCTCTAGTAGTATCCCTAGTTGAAAAAGATTTAGGAGTTCTGGTGCCCTACGACTTAAAGTTTTACGCCAACTGTGACAGAAATGCCTTTCGAGCAAACCTTGCACTGGTAACATTGAAGCGCATTTTCGGCCGGTTCGATGGAAGAACTTTCCGCATAATCTTCAGCATTTTCATTCGTCTTCATTTAGAGTACGGAAACATAGTATTTTCTCCCTCACTCCAAAAAGATAAGGACACTCTGAAGCGTATCCAACGGCGAGCCACGAAATCAGTTCAGGGACTCAAATTTAAACCTTACGATGAGCTCCTCCAATCACTCGAACTTTACCCATTAGAGTATAGGCGTCTTAGAGGTGATCTTCTAATGGCTTACAGTATCCTTAACACACCTGGACATCCTCTTAAACACCTACTTAAGCTTAGTCCCAACACTAACCTAAGGGGTAACACCCAGAAATTAGAGATACAACATAGTAGAACGGACTGCAGACACAACTTCTACTCCTTAAGAGTTGTCAAATGCTGGAATTCGCTGCCAGCTGAGCTAGTTCGAGCAACTTCCCAGAAGTCCTTTAAGAGGTGACTTGATCTATTCTTAAGGACTAAGGATAGTATCTTACTATGATTTACCAATTCATTGTTTTTTCTCTTTTATCGTTAATATACCTAGGTTCTTGCCTGGAGGTATTGGTGATCCCCTGCTACTAGACATGGAAGCCTGTTAAGCGAAAGCTTCTTCTATTCCGTCCACAACTATTTGAACCATTTGGATGATTACTTTCGTAGTTCTTCAAGCTTCCACCTTATACAGTAGAACTATCTTGACATTTGTATTGAAAAATTGTGACTTTGGTGTTGGTTGACAGTTGTTTTGAGTTCTATATGTTCTCCGCCTGGAGCTCCTCTTGAGCTACTACCGGTTCAAAGTCCGGATAAAGGAATAGGGTTAGGCATGCGGTTAGCGACCCCATCACGTAGAGAACTAACTCGCTTAAGAAAAACGCTAACCAGGAAAAAAAACTCAAATCATTTAATTGCATTTAAACCTCTTTTATTAATGTGTTCAAATCTTCGTGTCAACTAGACTGTCATGGATAAATGGAGTTGCTTTAAGTTCTAAACAAAAACTGATGAGTAAAATAATTTTTCCATATAGAAATTTGAATGAAATTAGATCCTTTGTTAAGTTTGGATGGTGTAATAAGAAGAGGAAGATTATCAGAACTATGTGATCAATAAGCAAAGATGGATAGTAGCTAACAGTGGAATCCATGACAAAGCGCGTTTCGTCCTATTTGGGACTCGTCAGCTGGATGTACCTACCTGCATCTCAGACTTGTTGATGTTCACTCTGGGACTCGAACCCAGTAACATTCAATTCAAACGTCATCTCGTTATCCACTTAGCTACTGAGTTCTGATAGCCACTTGCTTGTGCAATAGTGTGAATTTAAATTCACTTGATATTGTTTTACTTGAATCTTCCCATTGATGTTTAGGACTGCAAATGATCAGTCTCTTAATGGCATATGTGCATACTGTACGTATTGCCTCGATATGTGATGAATAGATTAGCGCAATACATTTCGAACTGTCTAATCACATATTGTATACTTGTGAAGAACATTTATATATAAAGAAATAAAAGGTCAATTAAACTAGAAATGGAGGGTAAGAGATAATAAAGAAAATACTGTGAAAAAACAATGTGCAACTCACCATACAAGATAATAAACTAATATGACCAGTGTAGGTTTTAGATCTTATGGGGCCGAAACCTGGAAAACCACGAAATCCATCATCCAGAAGATACAGATGTTTATTAACAGTTGTCTACGTAAAATACTTCGGATCCGTTGGCCCGGACACTATTAGCAACAACCTACTATGGGAGAGAACAAATCAGATCCCAGTGGAGGAAGAAGTGCTGGAAGTGGATAGGACACACATTGAGGAATGCACCAAACTGCATCACGAGACAAGCCCTTACATGGAATCGAGAGAGTTGCTTACCATAAATACTCATCCTGGCTTGTTTCAGTACAATCGCCTACCATTTGGTGTTAAAAGAGCTCCATCTATTTTTCAGCAACTAATGGATATCATTCTATCGGGTATCCCGGGTGTCGCAACTTATCTCGATGATATCTTAATTGTTGCTACATCGTTAGAACAGTTTCGAGAACGCACGACAGCTGTACTACAACGCGTCAGCGATAACGAATTCCGATTACGCCTGGAAAAATGCCAGCTTTTCTTGAAGTCAGTTAAATACTTGGGATTCATCTTTGATGCTACAGGTCGCAGACCAGATCCTGAAAACATCCGAGCTATAAAATTGATGTCGAATTTCACTAATATCCCTGAGTTAAGATCATTCCTGGGATTAATTAGCTACTACTCAGCATAACATACGCGCCCCGCTAAATCATCTTCTGAATAAGAACACCAGCTGGAACTGGACAAAAGAATGTGAAGCTGCATTTTGCAAGCTGAAAACTATCATAGGCTCTCAACTATCACTGACACACTACGATCCATCCATGTTCATCATTGTCGCTGCAGATGCTTCAGCTTTTGGACTCGGTGCTGTCATTTCACATCAGTTTCCCGACGCAACAGAGAAAGCTATTATGCATGCTTCTCGCACATTAACTTCAGCGGAGAGAAAATACAGTCAGATAGAGAAAGAGGCTCTCGCCCTTGTGTTTGCAGTACGCCGTTTCCACAAATTCTTGTATGGTCGAAGATTTACTCTTCTCACTGATCACAAGCCTCTTCTCACAATTTTTGGTTCGAAATCTGGCGTACCAGTTCATTCTGCAAACCGTCTCCAGCGATGGGCTTTGATACTTCTGGGTTATGATTTTGACATTCAGTACCGGCGCACCCAACAGTTTGGTCAGGCTGACGCCTTGTCACGACGTATCAGCAAACACCATACGATCGACGAAGATGCAGTTATTGCCTCCCTAATTACAGAGGACCACGCGCAATGTTACCTGACAATCACTATTCGTGCTTTGCCAGTCACAGTAGCTGAAATACAATCTGCATCCAAGAACGACTCCATCATAAAGAGAGCGATGAAGTACGTCACCAATGGCTGGCCGCCAACTGGACTCGATGGTGACTTGAAGCAGCTTTACCACTGTCGGGACTCATTATGTGTCGTAAACGACTGCTTGATGTTCGGAGAAAGAGTGGTTGTGCCAGAATCCCTTCGTGCAAAAGTGCTGAAACAGCTCCACCTTGGTCATCCGGGGGTTAGACGAATAAAATCCATAGCCAGGAGTCATGCATATTGGTCGCTAATAGATCAACATATAACAGATTTGGTTGAAAAATGTATGCGGTGTCAGCAAGCGGCAAAAGTGAACGCCAAAGTTCCACCAGCTTCATGGCCACAACCTGATCATCCTTGGTCCAGGATACAGGTCGACTTTGAAGGCTCGATTAACGGAACCATGTATCTAGTTGTAGTCGACGCCCTTTCGAAATGGCCAGAAATCAACCCTATAATACCGCCAACGACAACTAAAACAATACAAATCCTGACAGAAATTTTCTCCCGAAATGGTATACCGGATGTCATTGTATCTGACAACGGTTCACAGTTCACCTCCAGCCAGTTCCAGTCATTTTGTCAACGGTTAGCCATAAAGCACTTACGGTCGCCACCATACCACCCGCAGTCGAATGGGCAAGCAGAAAGGTTTGTGGATACATTTAAAAGAGCTTTGACTAAGACCTAAGGGGGGGATGCCAGCCGACGCGTTGCGAAATTTCTTATACGTGTACAGAACAACACCAAGTGAGACGTTGCCAAAGCGAAAGTTCCCAGCAGAGATCCTAATGGGAAGGAAATTGAGGACGATCCACAGTCTTATGTGCGCAAGAACCACACTACCACCTCAGAACAGATCTCAGAAGCTGCTAGCATACGAGATTGGATACCCGGTGTTTGCTCGAGACTACAGAGAAAACCATGGTCCTTGGATCGAAGCATGTGTGGTTGGAAGATCAGGCCAAGTTATGTATGAGGCAAAGGTGGGAAGACACATATAGACAAGACACAGAAACCAACTACGGAAGCGGATAACCCCTGACCGCCCATTAACAGGAGAAAATCTTCCTCTTGACATCCTGCTTGATACCTTCAACGTATCAGCACCCCCACCACGAGAAGAAGTACAACAAGAAGCTGATCTCCGTTCCAGAAGGTGGCCTCTACGACAACGACGATCAACAGCCAGGATGCAGGTTGACCCCAGAAAGGCACATTATTAAAAGGGGGAGGAGTGTTGGGGTCGATAAATTCCCCCCCCCAAAAAAACTCACATTTTGTAATTTTATCGATTAACTTATCGATTAAATTTTTAAATATTTGAATAGTAATCAATTGATGAATGTTTAAAAATTTAAATGAAAATATCGATTATATATATATATATATATATATATATATATATATATATACGTTTTAAATTTTGGTTGAATGACTCATTTCTGGTGGTTGCAGAATATATTTCTCCTTTCATGTCTAGACTTCTCCCACTAGATAGCTGGAGCTGGGATGCGTCATTAGCTAACTCACTGGTCGTTGGTCACTAAATCCTCGTTATCGTTCACGAATTAAGTAAACTCGTTAAGCTTCAAATCTAACAGAATCCTCAAAGCCAAAGAGGAAAGAGAGGAAGATCCAACAACACATTACGCCAGAATGTAGAGATAGACATGATAAAACTGAACAAGAATTGGATAGAACTAGAAAAAAAAAGGTCCAAGACAGAATCGGTTGAAGAATACTAGTCGGTGGTTTATGCTCCTTCACAAGGAGTAACAGGCGTAAGTAAGTAAGTAAGTAAGTAAGTCAGTAAGTAAGTAAGTAAGTAAGTCAGTCAGTCAGTAAGTAAGTAAGTAAATAAGTAAGTAAGTAAGTCAGTCAGTCAGTAAGTAAGTAAGTAAGTAAGTAAGTAAGTCAGTAAGTAAGTAAGTTAGTAAGTAAGTAAGTAAGTAAGTAAGTAAGTAAGTAAGTAAGTAAGTAAGTAAGTAAGTAAGTAAGTAAGTAAGTAAGTAAGTAAGTAAGTAAGTAAGTAAGTAAGTAAGTAAGTAAGTAAGTAAGTAAGTAAGTAAGTAAGTAAGTAAGTAAGTAAGTAGGCAAGTAAGTAAGTAAGTAAGTAAGTAAGTAAGTAAGTAAGTAAGTTAGTTAGTTAGTTAGTTAGTTAGTAGGTAAGTAAGTGAGTGAGTTAGTTAGTTAGTTAGTAAGTAAGTAAGTAAGTAAGTAAGTAAGTAAGTAAGTAAGTAAGTAAGTAAGTAAGTAAGTAAGTAAGTAAGTAAGTAAGTAAGTAAGTAAGTAAGTAAGTAAGTAAGTAAGTAAGTAAGTAAGTAAGTCAGTAAGCAAGCAAGTAAGTAAGTAAGTAAGTAAGTAAGTAAGTAAGTAAGTAAGTAAGTAAGTAAGTAAGTAAGTAAGTAAGTAAGTAAGTAAGTAAGTAAGTAAGTAAGTAAGTCAGTAAGTAAGTAAGTGAGTAAGTAAGTAGTAATAAGTAAGTAAGTAAGTAAGTAAGTAAGTAAGTAAGTAAGTAAGTCAGTAAGTAAGTAAGTGAGTAATTAAGTAGATAAATAAGTAAATAAGTAAGTAAGTAAGTAAGTAAGTAAGTGAGTGAGTGAGTAAGTAAAGTAAGTAAATCTTTTCATAAAACTTACTTCGTTTTGGTATTTTACTTATTCTTATATCAATAAGATTAATTTGTTGAATACAACATTCAAATCGTCCTGTATGTTGATTTAATTGTAACTTCAATAATACTTTAGATAATTTTCTATTCATAATGATTAGATTATCATTTTGTAGACAAATTGATGATTGATTTGGATTAGTTAATTTTATCATTGTCATTTTATTGTTACCATCAATTTCATTTGTTGACTGTTTTTTTAATAAAAATGAAAAAAAAAAAGAAAAAAGATCATTCCTAGGCAAAGAACTAAGACAATGTATGGTGACAACTTTGGGTTACTATGGTAACAAAATTGAATTCCTGTTATGAACTAATGAATTTCAACTTAGTGCAGTGATTTATTTGATTTTCTTTCTGTTTGAATCTTCCCATTGATGTTTAGGACTGAAATTGTTCAGTCTCCTATTATTGACAGATGTGCATACTGTGCGTATTGCCTCGATATTGCTTTAATTTACAAGCATTCTAAGCAAAGATGGATAGTGGTTAGCAGTGGAATGCACTTTGACGCGCGTTTCATCCTATTTGGGACTCTTCAGCTGGATGTACCTGCATTTCAGACTTGTTAATGTTCACTTTGGGACTCGAACCCAGTACCGTCCGCTTCAAATAAAACAATATCAAGTGAATTAAACTTCACCCCATTGCACAACCAAGTGGCCATCAGGAGTCAGTAGCTAAGTGGATAACGAGATGACGTTTGAATTGAATGTTACTGGGTTCGAGTCCCAGAGTGAACATCAACAAGTCTGAGATGCAGGTACATCCAGCTGACAAGTCCCAAATAGGACAAAACGCGCTTTGTCATGGATTCCACTGCTAGCCACTATCCATCTTTGCTTTAGTGCAGTGAGATTATAATTTATCGATGACCATTGTGCCATGTTAAAATAATCATGGAATATCAGACTAATCGAATGTCATTGGTTTAATACAATACAAGAGTGAATAAGTCGTATTTGGATGGATGAATAGATTACATGATAACTAGCTGGTTTGAAAGACATAACGGAATCCCTTTTATGAATCCTTTTAATAGATGAGTTGAATTTATATTTTAAGATTTAGTTGTTAAGAATGTTTACATTTAATGTTCCCTATCACTACCTCTATCACAGTGGGATTTGAATCGATAACTGAATCTCTGTGCTAATATGGTATAGCAACTCGAACGGATTTACATACGTATGTACGTACGTATGTACGAAGTTCCACGTTGTTACTGAATGACTGACTAACATTGAATGAAATGTAATAACTTGTAATAGTTTGTCATTTCTTATTATTAAAATTCAGATATCAAACTAATCCATGTATTCCAGATGAAAATATTGAACAATGATAATCGTGAATTTCAACAATAAAGACTTACATATCACTACAAATAGCTTGATATTCTTTAAACGGATTGGTATCCTTCAAAAAGGATACATGTGTATAAGGATCACAGTGGATGAACACATACCCAAATGACTGCAGTAATAAATGAATTTCAGTGGTGAAATAAGATTACAGGATAGGCAGACATTATCCTCCATAAGGAAACAGATGATTGAGACTGATTATAACGTTGACATCAAGTCAACATTTGTAGTGTTTTACAAAAACCTAGTGACTAACTTCGTGAGGGAATTCTCGGAGTTGTAGTGAGAAGCCGTGACCAGTGGAGCTTATCCGTGTCGAGTAGAGACATGTATCTACCTCAGTACAATGGAAGATGGTCGCGCAATTTCGTGGATTGGTTGATGTTAGACACTAACAACATGTTTCAGCAAGAACTCAAACAGCACTTAAGGGATTGTGTCTATCAATTTACATGTATGCGCGGAAAAACATGCATGAGGAGGAGCGATCGTGATCTGCATGAAAGAGTGGTGGAACACATACCTCAATGGCTGCAAAAATAAATGAATTTCAGTGGTGAAATAAGATCACAGGATAGGCAGACATTTTCCTCCATAAGGAAACAGATGATTGAGACTGATCATAAGGTTGACATCATATCAACATTTGTAGTGTTTTACAAAAACCTAGTGACTAACTTCGTGAGGGAATTCTCGGAGTTGTAGTGAGAAGCCGTGACCAGTGGAGCTTATCCGTGTCGAGTAGAGACATGTATCTACCTCAGTACAATGGAAGATGGTCGCGCAATTTCGTGGATTGGTTGATGTTAGACACTAACAACATGTTTCAGCAAGAACTCAAACAGCACTTAAGGGATTGTGTCTATCAATTTACATGTATGCGCGGAAAAACATGCATGAGGAGGAGCGATCGTGATCTGCATGAAAGAGTGGTGGAACACATACCTCAATGACTGCAGTAATAAATGAATTTCAGTGGTGAAATAAGATCACAGGATAGGCAGACATTTTCCTCCATAAGGAAACAGATGATTGAGACTGATCATAAGGTTGACATCATATCAACATTTGTAGTGTTTTACAAAAACCTAGTGACTAACTTCGTGAGGGAATTCTCGGAGTTGTAGTGAGAAGCCGTGACCAGTGGAGCTTATCCGTGTCGAGTAGAGACATGTATCTACCTCAGTACAATGGAAGATGGTCGTGCAATTTCGTGGATTGGTTGATGTTAGACACTAACACCATGTTTCAGCAAGAACTCAAACAGCACTTAAGGGATTGTGTCTATCAATTTACATGTATGCGCGGAAAAACATGCATGAGGAGGAGCGATCGTGATCTGCATGAAAGAGTGGTGGAACACATACCTCAATGACTGCAGTAATAAATGAATTTCAGTGGTGAAATAAGATTACAGGATAGGCAGACATTTTCCTCCATAAGGAAACAGATGATTGAGACTGATTATAACGTTGACATCAAGTCAACATTTGTAGTGTTTTACAAAAACCTAGTGACTAGCTTCGTGAGGGAATTCTCGGAGTTCTAGTGAGAAGCCGTGACCAGTGGAGCTTATCCGTGTCGAGTAGAGACATGTATCTACCTCAGTACAATGGAAGATGGTCGCACAATTTCGTGGATTGGTTGATGTTAGACACTAACAACATGTTTCAGCAAGAACTCAAACAGCACTTAAGGGATTGTGTCTATCAATTTACATGTATGCACGGAAAAACATGCATGAGGAGGAGCGATCGTGATCTGCAAGAAAGAGTGGTGGAACACATACCCAAATGACTGCAGTAATAAATGAATTTCAGTGGTGAAATAAGATCACAGAATAGGCAGACATTATCCTCCATAAGGAAACAGATGATTGAGACTGATTATAACGTTGACATGAAGTCAACATTTGTAGTGTTATACAAAAACCTTCAAGGACATATACTAAGGTTTATATAAAGCCTTGACTATACAGACACTGAAACTTCCTTTATGTGTTCAAAAACAAAGTTATCTATCTATCTATATATATATCTCTTATGAACACATCAAAGTAGCCCATTCCAAGTTGCTAAATGAAAGAAGCAAATCAAGTAATAGATTGGAGCTTAAACTAAAAATCCTCAATCAAAATTATACGTTCTTATGTAACATTCACCATTTAAATGAATAGGGATAAGATGTCAGTCAGTTAGTCAGTCAGTAACAACGTAGAACTTCGTACGTACGTACGTACGTACGTACATCAGTTCAAGTTGCCATACCACATTAGCAAAGAGATGCAGTTGTCGATCTGAATCCCGTAGTGATAGAGGTAATAAGAGTATAAGCAGTAATTGAAAAGATTAAGATTTAAAGATGTTATTCAAGGAGTATAATCCAGTGGAATAGATTTGGAAAGTGAAAAAAAGGAACATGAAGAATTCAGAAGATTTGAATTTTGGAGAACACAAAGAGTGGATGCACCTGCGCCATTGCAAACAATTTCGAACCATATCATTCACGGTATCTAACCCTCGGTTGCTATCATCTCGCGGACCCCCAACCAGATAGTTTACACTTACCACTTGTTAGTAACTTCAAGGAATTATGCTATAAATGAAGATGTGTGATACTTCATACTTATTAAACATGGATAAAACGGATACTCTCCAGAATTACGGACATATATCCTATCTTATGCATACAGAAGATTGTTGTTAAAAGGGACTTATGTCAATAAGAGAGGAAGTATTAAAACGTAAATTTAACAATACAGTCCAAGTAATATCATCAATATAATAATAACTCTTGCTATATATCATAAATCAATAGTGAACATCCAAATTAGTGTACATTAGTAACTAAGAGTCTGTTTTAAAATACAACGTTATGGAGTTATGATTATTCTATACAATAAATTAGTATCTATATGTTATTAAACAGCCTCAGCAGCAATAGATCTCAATATATACACAAAGGCAAAAGCAAGATTCTCCTGTACAACACAGCATGCACGAATCCATTCACAATTAACGGAGAAGATTTAGAAGTTGTAAAAACCTTTACATATTTGGGCAGTATCATCGATGAACACGATGAATTTGATGCAGATGTGAAGGCACGGATTGGCAAAGCAAGAGCAGCATATTTACAACTGAAGAATATCTGGAACTCAAAACAATTAGCAACCAACACCAAAGTCAGAATTTTCAATACAAATGTGAAGACAGTTCTACTGTATGGGGCGGAAACCTGGAAAACTACGAAACCCATCGTCCAAAAGATACAGGTGTTTATTAACAGTTGTCTACGCAAAATACTTCAGATCCGTTGGCCGGACACTACTAGCAACAACCTACTGTGGGAGAGAACAAATCACATCCCAATGGAGGAAGAAATCAGGAAGAAGCGCTGGAAGTGGATAGGACACACATTGAGGAATACACGCAACTGCGTCACAAGACAAGCCCTCATATGGAATCCTCAATGTCGAAGGAAGAGAGGAAGACCAAAGAATACATTACGCCGGGAAATAGAGATAGATATGAGAAAAATGAACAAGAATTGGATGGAACTAGAAAAGAAGGTAGAGTAGGACAGAGTGTGTGGGTTGGAGAATGCTGGTCGTCGGCCTATGCTCCATTGGGAGTAACAGGCGTAAGTAAGTAAGTAAGAATACAATTATGTATAAAGATAATGAATTACATTGTTAGTTAGCTGGGACAAAATAAGGTAAGAAGTAATAAGGCTACTAACATTTTGGTGATAGATGATTTCATCTTTAAAGAAAAGAGAAAATGATAAATCATGAAAACGGTTGAAGTTATGGAGAATCTTGTTGTTGTTGGGGGGGTTAGGATCACAATGTTTTGTACGATTGTTCCATTGGTTTATATTTCAATGAATGAGAAAAGAACAAATTCTTATTACGTAATTTCAAACAACTAAACGAACTCCATTGTGGTTTACATTCGTTAACTATCATGACGAATTACAAACAATCAATTATCAGGATTTCGACCATTATACTCAATTACAATACAATAAGGTTGCTTCTTCTATTTAAGCCAATTTATATAACATAGACTACATCAATTTGAAAACCTTCAAGAGTAAATGAAACGTTTTCTCTTCAACCCTCCAGTTCTCAGCATTAGATATTTTTCCGCTTCCAGATGTCATACTGTCATCTGATAGCCTAATGGAATTACCATTCTTTGTTGAGAATAATGATCTATTAATAGATTGTTTCGCCTGGAGCCCCTTTCGAACTCCGCCTGGAGCTCCTTTCCGGGGGCTACTGCCGGTCCCAAGCCCGGATAAAAGAGGAGGGTTGGGCATGGGGTTAGCGACCACATCCCGTAGAAAACTAACTCGCTAAAAAAACGCTAACCAGAAAAATAATAGATTGTTTCGAAAACACCTTTGTCAGAAGATCAATAAGAAGTACAGACCTAACTGATCCAATTTTTCAAACTGTACAACCAAATGCCCACACTTTTGTTGTGATAGATTTTTTACTGAAACCATAGTATAAATGTCACTATCAACTCAGTAGGGCTGCTTATCTACCGACATACGGAAATTCATGGATTCTCTATAAAAAGGAAATATCTAAATAAATTGATAAACGAACAGTTTATTCTAGGTGTCCAGTAATAGCATACAGAAAGAAAATGCAAGAAGGTAAAATCACCCAACAAGGAACTTCATCCAGTACTTTCAATTTATTTTAGTCATGGATGTCTATGGAACACTTGTTTACCTTCATAATAATATAATCCATAAGTATGTAGTTTATGCTCTAGTTATTATGCTTAAACCGTGTTCTGAAGACGATCTCAAGCTTAACTAGATTCCCTTATAGCGACTGACAGGTCTTGGGTTCGAATCTCGCAAGGTGGGATCGTGGATGCTCACTAATAGGGAGTCCAATACTATGACGAAACAGTTGTCCAGTACTTTCAGATTTTCTATGGTGGTCTAGCTTACATCGATTCATAAATCCAACGATTAAATTAATACATAACAATCTAATGAAGCCTAATAAACTAACTGATAATTTAAATCTGGTTTTTGTATATCTTCAAAACTAAAAAATCTTCAAGATTTATGAATGTTCAAATGAATGCTACAGAATGATATGGGTCAACTCTGTTGTTCATCATTTTTTTTTACTTATTAAATGTTAACTACTTAATTAAAAATAAGTAGGTTGACTTTATTTACAAAATAAAATTATCATCACTTTCAATTACCTTTTTTAATTGCATATCATATGAAACTGGTAGAACATGTATTGGTTGAAAATTAACTGTAACAATATTTTCAATAGTTAAATTTACATTTTCAAATGATAAAAAACCTTCTCCATACAGATATTCTTCATTACCGAAAAATCCAACGATACGACAAATAAGCGTTGATTTATGAATGGTAACTTGATAATTATCAAACAATAAATATAAAGAAGATAAACATTAGAAGAATTTGAAACATTGAATGAAACAGTTTAGAATTAAACATACTAGTATGGATAAGTTGAGTGGAAACAGAATATATCAAGTCAATGGTAAGATAGTGAAAATGTAAATTCATTGTCTGTACGAAGTAACCACCTCCATTGCGTATATAGCCTCTGCCAGGGAAGTCCTAATCACTGCCTTCACGTGGCGGTGGTGTTGTTTACAAAAATGAGAGGACGAAAAGCGAATGTCCGGCACCGGCTTTAACCGGATCCCAAACCAATGGTGCACATGGGTTGGCTCCAGTATCCTGAAGGAACAAATGGCGTATGAACCAATCGTTGGTCACCGGCTACCATGGGACTGCATCTCCTTACGATGCTCCACTGCCTTGTGGGTCAGACGTTCAGGTCGAAGGCTCGGTGTGTGGCCCTCTAAGAAAACCACCTACTTCGGTTTGGGCACCCGTGCAGTATCACAGCCCTCACACAAATCAATTGAGATTCGTGTGGCGCATATGTATTTGGTGCCTCCCTGTACCTATACTTATGTGTTAAAATAAATAAATAAACAAATAAATTCATTGTCAATCAAGTTTGTTCCTGTACTGTCTGTGAAATATAAATGGAAGGATAAACATATTTATCTGTTTTATTTATTTGACCATATAAATATTGGTATAAAGGGACATCGAATAAGTATGTGCAACCCAAGGCACTTGATTTGTATGTGAGCTGTGAAACTGCATGGGTGCCCAGACTGAAGTAGGTTGTTTTCTTAAGGGACCATACCTGGAGGGTTCAACCTGAAGATCTGATCCACAAGATAGTGGATCAATGTCAGGAGATGTAGTCCTATGGTAGCCGGTGACTAAAAATAGGTTCATTTGCCATTTGTTCCCTCAGGATCCTGGAGCTCATATGGAGCATTGGTTTGGAATCAGCGTTTCCCAATTCCCTTAGGTGGACTTTCCGTGTCCACTAACCCGCCTGATATTAGTTTCTCGTCCTCTCAATTTCGTAAACATCAGTAATGCCATGAGGAGACAGTGAGTAGGATTTCTCCTACAGTGGTTACATGTACGTGGCCATGTGAAAGTGTTTCGAGAGGAGAGTTAACATTCTCCACTCTCTGCCGTACCAGAGTATTTGAGGTTACAGTGTAGCGTCAGAAGTAGGATTTGAACGTACACCTATAGAATGGACTGTGATCTAAACGCAGCGGCTTGGACCGCTCGGCTATCTTGACATATTCGTTACTAGCCACAATGAATGACTTTTGAAGTGCAATAGAACAATAAAGTAAGATCATGTGGATGTAAAATAAGAACATTGGAGGTATCATTGGGTTAAAGTTTGAACATAACTTAACTTAAAATGCTTTTGTTTTATTTATTTTTTCCCAACAAAATCACTGTGAGTTATTATCCTTGAATGAAACTGGTAGTCCTCATCATAATACTGAATGACAATATAGAATGATATAAACTGAAGACTATTATAGATACTCTGATGGATCTGATGTAGATGTGAAGGTGAGGATTGACAAAGTAAGTGCAACATATCTACAATTGGACAACATCTGCAAATCAAAAATGCTGGAAGTGGATGCGACAGACATTGAAGAAAGCACCCAAATGCATCACACGACAGGCGCACACTTACAATCCTCAAAGCTAAATAAAGAGGGAGAGGAAGATCAAAGAATACATTACTCCGAGAAATGGAGACAGACATGAGAAGAATGAACAACAATTGCATAGAATTAAAAAGGAAAGCTGAGGACAGAATGGGTTGTTGAATGTTGGTCGAAGGTCTATTCTCCATTGGGAGTAACAGGCGTAAGTAAGTAAGTCAGAAGGATTCCTTCAGAACAAATAAAGTGAACAAAATATTGTTTGACAACCGATAAACGTGTAATAGGAACATAATCCTAAGTTTAAAGGATTTAGCATGTTTCACTTTTACTATACATCTAATTGAAGTCTTTGTATATTTTTTTAAAAACATCTTTTGTAATCATCTGCTCATTAGTGACTCACTTCAAGAGATACTCCTGGAGTTCTAGTGAGAAGCCGTGACCAGTGGAGTGGAGTTCAACCAGGTTTGTTGAGAGATATCAGCTCACTGAAGAAAATGGTGACGGTGGCGCAACTTTGTGGATGAGTTGAAGTTAGACACTAACACCGTTGGATGCCGGCCAGATCAGTGGTCTAGTTGGTTAAACGCGTGGCGCGAGACTGACAGGTGCTGGGTTCGAATCCCACGAAAAGTGGAATCGTGGATGTGCACAGCTGAAGAGTCTCATACTAGGACGGAACGGCCGTTCAGTGCTTCCAGGTTTTCCATGGTTGTTTAGCTTCAACTGACTCATGATTTCAACTATTGAAATCATATGGATGTTTGGCAGATCGATTATTCAACATCAGATATATGCCTTTCTTCCTAATAATCCCAACTAAATATGTATCATTACCAAGGTTTAACTTGATAATTTCAAATAAATTAAGTACTGGGTAGATGGTATGCACATATGCCAATAAGAGACTGATCAATTACAGTCTTAAAAACTCAATGGGAAGATTCAAGTAAACAACAATATCAAGTGAATTAAACTTCACCCCATTGCACAACCAAGTGGCTATCAGGAGTCAGTAGCTAAGTAAATAATGCGATGGCGTTTGAAGCGAATGTTACTGAGTTCGAGTCCCAGAGTGAACATCAACAAGTCTGAGATGCAGGTACATCCAGCTGACGAGTCTCAAATAGGACGAAACACCCTTTATCCTGAATTCCACTGCCAGCCGCTATCCATCTTTGCCTATAATGTGTTTCTAGATTTTCTGACGTTTCGTCCCTCAGTATAAGCCGCTTCTTCAGAGGATATATAATTAACCAAAATCAAAATTAATCCAAGTTTAAATATAGTACAAAGGAACAAAACAAGAATATTAAGTGAAATCAATCAGGTGATTTATAAGGGATATACATATGTGCAAGGTTAGAAATGAAAAAAATGTGTGACCTTTATGGCGAGAAAGTATAGAGTTTAATTTACATGTAAAATAATAGTGTAAAATGTGACATAGTAGCTTGGATAGATAATCCTGGATCATTGATTTTGTATATGAGATGAGCTACTGTTCGAGCATACAAACGGATTCTTTATTTACTCTGAAGAAGTGGCTTACATTGAGTTACGAAACATCAGAACATCTTATTTCTCTACTCATAGAGATATCTACAAAGATATTCGAATACTTCATACATCTATCTGTAATTTGTACTAATGATGTCATTCAATAGAAGAACGATAAAAAGCTTCACAATCAAACTATCTATCTCAAAGAACAAAACTCCATTAAAATGATCCATCTAAGCTACAAATCTTCTCCATTACATTGATCAGAGAAAAAAAATTATCAGAAGGGGTATTGTGGAAATTGTAGTAATTTCAATGATTAAGATCATGAGTCAGTTGAAGCTAGACCACCATGGAAAACCTGGAAGCACTGGACAGCCGTTTCGTCCTATTATGGGACTCCTCAGCAGTGCGCATCCACGACCTCGCCCCCTGCGAGATTCGAACCCAGGACCTACTGGTTTCGCGCGCGAGCATTTAACCACTAGACCACTGAGCTGGCCGGCATCCAACGGTGTTAATGTCTAACTTCAACTAATCCACAAAATTGAGCGACACATCCACCATTGCCTTCAGTGAGTTACTATCCACAAAACCCCTTCTGATAATAATCAACATATGCTCGCTAGTGACTAGCTTCAAGAGGTATATCCTGGAGTTCTAGTGAGAAGTAGTGACCAGTGGAGTTCAACCAGGTCTGTTGTGGGATAGTAACTTACTGAAGACAATGATGGATGTGTCGCTCAATTTTGTGGATTAGTTGAAGTTAGACATTAACACCGTTGGTTGCCGGCCAACTCAGTGGTTTAGTGGTTAAGTGCTCACGCGCAAAACCAGTAGATCGTGGGTTCGAATCTCGCAGGGAGTAAGGTCGTGGATATGCACTGCCAACGAGGAGTCCCATAATAGGACGAAACGGCCGTTCAGTGCTTCCAGATTTTCCATGATGGTGTCTAACTTCAACTGACTCATGATCTTAATCATTGAAAAAAAATAAGACAAACAATAAACATACCAAGAGGAATTTTGAATTTCCATTCTTCTAAATATTCTGGATTAGGTGCTGTACGTATTTTACTTTTCCAATATTGTTTATTATCTGGTTCCATAGATAAGTGAATCTTTTATGATTTATTTGTTGTTGTTGTTGTTGTTGTTTTAAAGAGAGGAGAAGAAAGTGTTATGTTAATGAAATACCAAATGAAATACTCTTCTCACAATTGATTGATCATTGGGTGATGACCAATATCATGCATGTCTAGACCTTATTATTAGTGTAGATCGAATGCTATCGATCATGTTGGAATGTGGCCATCAGTCTAGGTGACTTGACACTGCGGGCACTATTGTGAGATTAAATGGTGGTTAGAGGTCGTTGACAGGAAACCCTGGATCCGGGTTTCGTGTTACTTGGCACTCGTCAGCAATGTGCGCCTGTAATCTTTGAGGGAACTGGTGCTCCCTGATAGATTCGATCCCTTATCACCCAGCTTCATAGTCAGAGGCGTTACCACTGAGCTATCTGGGCCGCGACCGACCTCCTATAGAACTGAGATGTAATCATAATTGATTGATCACTGGGTGGTGACCAATCTCATGCATGTCTAGTCCTTATTATTAGTGTAGATCGAATGCTATCGATCATGTTGGAATGTGGCCATCAGTCTAGGTGACTTGACACTGCGGGCACTTGTGAGATTAAATGGTAGTTGGAGGTAGTTGACAGGAAACCCTGGACTCGGGTTTCGTGTTACTTGGCACTCGTCAGCAAGATGTACCTGTAATCTTTGAGGGAACTGATGCTCCTTGGCAGATTCGATCCCGTGTCACCCAGCTTTACAATCAGAGACGTTACCACTGAGTTATCCGGGCCGCGACCGACCTCCTGCAGGACTGAGATGTAATCACAATTGATTGATCACTGGGTGGTGTTATGTGTGTCTAGTCACTATTATTAATGCAGATGAGTGCCAAGTAGCATGAAACTTGGGTCCAGGGTATCCTGTCGATTACCTCCAAACACTATCTAACCTCATAATAAATTCTCTTCTATTACGAACCAGTTTTACTTTAGACAATAAGTCAAGATGCTTCTAACAGTTAGCAGTAATGTAGTGAACAAGAACACCAATGGGGACAATCGAATGCACATAACAACAAATTACAGGACTTGTTAATAAAATCTAACAACAATATAATAAATGCTCAATTTGCTAAAATGTTCATCCATTGTCTCAAAATGACTCAGACTTCCTTTGTTCTTGTATTTTCATACAAATTGCAGTCTGTTTTCATTCTTTGCTGTTTGATCTACTTGTCTCTCTGCTGCCAGACATTCTGTTCACGACGAACATCACATACTACTTATGTCTACATATAAGTAGCACACACCATACTAGTATTTGACCACAGATACTTTAGAAATATCGCTCGTATCTTCTGGCATCACCGTGTATGTAATAGTGAAGTTAGACTCACGGTATTAGGGAATGATGGTAAATCAGTTGATGAGGTTGTGAATCTTCATCGACGGAAGTGGTTGGGTCACGTGTTGCGTATGCCTGAACATCGATTACCACGGCGTGCAATGCTAACCGGTGTTAGGGATGGTTGGAAGAATGTTAGAGCCGGCCAAACCAAAACGTAGCATTACTGTTTGAAGTTACTAACTTCTAGTCTTAGCCATGTTGGTACATGTAGACTACTTCATTGAGGTCCCCGAGACTATCGTAACCAATGGTTGGAGACTCTTGGTGACATGGCTCAGAATCGATCACAATGGCGTCGGTGTATACACTCTCTGTCTTCCTTTAAATTAAGAGATTAAAATCACTTCAAGTCTTTCTTGCTACGAACTAATTCTTTCTTCCTGTACTATCTGCTTATATGCGATCTTTCTTCTATATAATACCACCACTGAATTAACTACTTCTATGAATCCCGTGTTCATCTTGTTATGCTAATGCGGTGTGACAACTTGGACCGATGTATATATGTACCTTGTCCTACGTTGTAACTGACTGACTGACTGACTGTCAATTAACTGTTCATTGTAGTACCCTAATATAATAAAGAATTTTTTTTATCCAAAATATTTACCCTAATAAAATTTCAGTTACATGTTTTCATTCAAGGCTTACTTTTAAATAATATTTGAATACTACTATTAATACTACTATTAAGTAGTTGAACATTGAATGTAAAGTAAGTTGTATGCTCTTGATAACGTATGATCTGTACCATATTACAATATAACAATTCAGATAATGGTTTGATTCTATGATAGTTGTATTAATAGTAATGAATGATCATAGAATCACTTTGACATACTTGATAAGCTGAGGGTCCACCAGCTTCTCTACCTGGTACATTGTTTGCACGTATAACATTCACATGCATTTCTTGTTCTGTATTATTATAATGGACAGATAATTGTAGTTTGCTTGAATTCTACAAAATATGAAAATAAATTGGTCTATTAGTTCAGTATATAGGCTAGGACAGAGTAGGTTGAAGAATACTCGTTGGCGACGTATGCTCCATTGGGAGTAATATGCATAAGTAAGTTCAGTATATGGACAATTTTATATCACTAATTGAAATCATAAATCCATTGAAGCTAGAAAACGATGGAAAACCTGGAATCACTGAATCACCGTTTCGTCCTAGTATGAGACTCCTCAGTAGTGCGCATCCACGAGAAATTCGGACCCAAGACCTAATGCTTCCTGGTTTTGCATGGTGGTCTAACTTCAATGGATTCATGATTTCAACTATTGAAATTATCTATTCTCCACAAAACCCATTCTAGTAATAATCATCTGCTCACTAGTGACTGACTTCAAGAGATACTCCTGGAGTTCTAGTGAGAAGCCGTTACCAGTGGAGTGGAGTTCAACCAGGTCTGTTGTGAGATATCAGCTCACTGAACAAAATGGTGACGGTGGCGCAACTTCGTGGATTAGTTGAAGTTAGACACTAACACCGTTGGATGCCGGCCAGATCAGTGGTCTAGTTGGTTAAGCGCCTGGCGCGAGACTAACAGCTGCTGGGTTCGAATCCCGCGGGGTGCGGCATAGTGGATGCGCACTGCTGAGGAGGAGTCCCATACTAGGACGAAACGGCCGTTCAGTGCTTCCAGGTTTTCCATGGTGATGGTCTAGCTTTAATTGATTCATGATTTCAACTATTGAAATTATCAATTCTCCACAAAACCTATTCTATTAAAAGTATAACCAATAGGTTTGGGAGATATAATGATACTTTAATACTGGCAATTTGAAAGACATTGGTTTACAGTTTTTATTTTAGTAGATTCAAGATATTGATCGAACATTACTGATTTTCTGTAGTTTGTGATGTCGGCTAAAATTTAAAAAATCTTCATGAACTATTCAAGCTACCGGTTATGCTTCGGTTCATGTTGAATACTAAGCTAATGATATTTGTTAATATTTACAATTGACTGATCACTAAGGGGGTGATCAATATCATGTATGTAAGCTTCTTCTCAGTGGAGATCGAGTTCTATCAACCAAGTTGCAATGTGTTGCTACCAATCTAGGTGAATTGACATTACGGGCAATATGTTGAGATAAGATGGTGGTTGGAAGTAGTTGACAGTAAACTCTGGACCTAGTATTCATGCTACTTGGGACTTGTCACCAAGATATACCTGTAATCTTGAGGGAACTGATATCCTCTGATTGATTCGATCCCGTGTTATGCAGCTTTACAGTAAGAGACGTTATCACTGAGCTATCTAGTAACATCTCTGTCAGTGAAGCTGGGTGACACAGAATCAAATCCGTCAGGGAGTATCAGTTCCCTTAATATTACAGGTACATCTTGCTGATGAGTACCAAATAGCACGAATCTTAGGTCTAGGGTTTACTGTTGACCACCTCTAAGCACTATCTATTTTGCCGACAATTCCTTTTTAAGCTCGAATGTACATACCACCTTTATGTGTACTATAAAACTGAACTAGTAATACTACAGTCTTATTAAACAATCCGTTTAGTATTAGGGATACAACCAGTCTATTTTGAAAAGAAAAACTGAAATAGATTTTGAGAGAGATCTGTTTGGTGTGTTAGAATCACTGTATAAATTTTTTTAGTTCATATAAATGCAAATGCATATAAAAACAGCTAGCATAGCAACAGTCCCTGCATCAGTAGACCTCAACATACACAATGGAGGAAAACCATGGTCTTCAAATACAACACGGCGAACAGCAATCCAATCACTCTTGATAGCGAAACTATGGAAGATGTAGAATCCTTCACATACACCTGGGAAGCATCATCAATAAACAAGGAGGTTCAAATGAAGACGTAAAGGGGTGCATTGGCAAAGCAAGGGCCTCATTCCTTCAATTGAAGAACATATGCAACTCAAAACAACTTTCAACCAATATCAAAGTCAGAATCTTCAATACGAAAGTCAACACAGTTATTTCTATTGTGGAGAACTACAACAACAACCACCATCAAGAAGGTACAAGTATTTATCAATAGATGCCTACGCAAGATACTCAACATTCATTGGTCGGATACCATCATTAACAGTCTTTTGTGGGAGAGAACCAACGAACTTCCAACTGAAGAGGAAATTATAACAAGACGATGGAAATGGATAGGACATACATCACCCAAATCATCAGACTGCATCATGAGGCAAGCCCAAACTTGGAAACCTGTCGGGAAGTGGAAAAGAAGAAGGTCAAAGAACACATTACGTCGGGAAATAGAAGCAAATATGAAAAGGATGAATAAGTACTGGAAAGAGCTGGAAAGGATTGCCCGAGGACAGAGTTGGATGGCAAGTCCTGGTGAGCGGCTGCCTATGCTCCTTCACAAGGAGTAACAGGCGTAAGTAAGTATGTAAGTATGTATAAATGTAAATAATCCCTACATAATGTTTGAATTATGTTAGTTAAAACATTTATCTTCATAATATATATAAATTCAATAATTCATTACCGGTAATGTAAAAGATTTAATTTCATCTTTGTCATTGTCATCATCTTCATCAGAAGAATATTCTTCTATGTCTGTATCATCAGAGAATTTTGGTTCATTGGTTAAACTATCTAATTCGGCTTCATATTCTTGTAATGAAAGAATTCTAGGTTTTCCATTTTTTGAAGTAATCGATGTTTTTCTATTATTCTTTTCATTATTAGAGCTGGAAAGATCTTCTGAAGCTAAAATATTTCAACAATAACAATAACAACAATAAGAAGTAGATCGATTTCATATAGAATAGGAATGTACAACGTTGTCCAGAAAACTACCTTGATAAAACTAACTAAACAATGTTAGTATAAGGGAAAGTTAGAAGGGTATAAGTAAGTAACATGTGAATAAGTAATATACAAATGTCACCAAAAAAACGTAATATGTTTACATGTATACTTTTTGATGAAGTTTTCTTCTTTAAGCTCGATAGTTTGATCGTGGAGTTTTCATCGTTCTTCTGAATGAACGCGACATCATCCACAGTACAAACTTCAGACTTCTATCTAAAGTTTGTACTGTGGATGATGTCGCGTTCATTCAGAAGAACGATGAAAGCTCCACGATCAAACCATCCAGTTCAGAGTACAAAACTCTATTAAAATCATTCACTTAAGCTATAAATCTTCTCCATCATCTTAGTATTCGATACTTCATGACAATATTAGTTTCCAATCCAGAAATAACTATATACTAGTTGGGAAGAGGTTAAGGTGCTCTTCCCCTTCTCGAAATGCTCTCATATGGCCACGCGTATACAGCCCCTGCCAGGGAAGTCCTACTCACTGCCTTCACGTGGCGGGGGTGTTGTTTACAAAAATGAGAGGACGAAAAGCGAATGTCCGGCACCGGCTTTAACCGGACCCCAAACCAATGGTGCACATGGGCTGGCTCCAGTATCCTGAAGGAACAAATGGCGTATGAACCAATCGTTGGTCATCGGCTACCATGGGACTGCATCTCCTCCCGATGCTCCACTGCCTTGTGGGTCAGATCTTCAGGTCAAAGGCTCGGGGTGTGGCCCCCTAAGAAAACCACCTGCTTCGGTTTGGGCACCCGGTCAGTATCACAGTCCTCACACATATCAAATGAGATTTGTGTGGCGCATATGTATTTGGTGCCTTCTTGTACCGATATTTATGTGTTAAAATAAATAAAATAAAATAAAGGTAAAATGGAACAAGTTTAAGATCTGATGATGTTATACTATCAACCATCCTGAATGAATGTCTACCTGTAGTAATGTTGCTTGATAACAATCCGTTCATAAAAGTATTAAGCATGGATACTAAAACAAGAAAAATTCTCTCATTATGATGGTAACCGGATAGCAACTGGCATTTTTTTTTTAAACAGCATTCAACTGACGTGATATGCTTTAATACAGTAATATTTGAATTAACATAGTTATTATAACTAATGGATAATATGTGCTAGTCGAAAAATTTACTGCTAAGCATCATTTAGTACTTTGATGAAGTTTTGTTCTTTGAGTTGGTGAATAATTTGATCGTGGAACTTTCATCGTTCTTCTTCTGAACGCGACATCATTCACAGTACAAACTTCAGATAGAAGTGTGAAGTGTTCGAATTTCTCCATATGCGTTTCACAGCTTGTTCTGTGCACCTCGATGTTGATTGGTTGTTATTAACCTTAAATTTGTCATTGTGTATAAGTTTCCTGATTGGTTGATAAATTGGATCGATTTCAATATGTTTGTGTTGATTGCTGATTGACTTGAGTGCCAGCCTTCTAAAACTTCTCTGGTGTTTTTTGGAATTTCCTCTGTCCAAGATTTCAACATTTTTCCAATCGAATGTGTGTCCGCAGTTGTCCACATGTATCGATATAAGTGAGGAGATATCATGCCGTTTGACTGCTAATTGATGTTCAGGTAGGCGCAGGTGAAGGGAGCGTCCGCTTTGTCCGATGTAGTGTTTGATCTATCTTCTTTTGTTATTTCATCCTTTGGTTTGCATAGGATTGACTGTAGTGATTTTGTCGGTTTGTGTGCCACATCTATCCCGAAGGTTTTTAGCAGTCTTGTTTCGGTTTCTGATATGCCATTTATGTATGGTAGGGTGATCCGTTTGTTGATTTCTGTGCTTCATTTGTGCTCTGATGCTGCATGTGGTTGGTATTTAAGGTCAATAAGAACTAATTAACATCACAGTGTACAGAACAAGCTGTGAAACGCATATATGGAGAAATTCGAACACTTCACTTTTATCTGAAGTTTGTACTGTGGATGATGTCGCGTTCAGAAGAAGAACGATGAAAGCTCTACGATCAAACCATCCAGCTCACAGAACAAACCTGCCTCAAAATCATCCACCTGAGCTACAAATCTTCTCCACCATCTCATCATTTAGTATTATTTTACTGGTTAACGTTTTTTTTTTTAGCGAGTTAGTTTTCTACGGGATGGGGTTGCTAACCCCATGCTCAACCCTCCTTCTTTATCCTAGCTTGGGACCAACAGTACCTTCAGAGAGGTATATTAATATTCATTAAACAGTCATATTCTTAATCAAAATGTAAATGTGTTTATATACAAAGAATATGAATTTAAAGTGTAGAAATATTACCCATTGAAATCCTTATTTACTATTCTGGATAGTAGACTTTATTCTAGATACATCCACCTGACGAGTCTCCAATAGGACGAAACACGCGTTCTTAATTCCATTGCTAACCACTATCTATCTTTGCTTATAGCAGATATGATATTTGGTATACTATTCTAATAATTCTATCTAACAGATGCCCTTCATGAAAATTGTTGGGGTATTCAGAAAATCACCCCAGAAATTATCGAATGCTATTCCTGAATGAGAAATAGTGTCATTTCCTCATTGGTCAATATTCTTCCAACGTGTCATCTCCTTATTGGTCAATATTTATTCAACGTGTCATTTTCCTATTGGTCAAATCTTGTACAAATGTTACTTTATATTTTATTGGTACGATGTAGTCTGTTTGTTTGGTATATAAACAGTGTATGTTTGGAATATAACGATTCATATCTCCGAGGCTGAGACTTGTGTTCTAGACTCAATTGGCTGGGCTAGACAGGGAAGCAGGACCAATCAGAACTCTAGGCTGCTCGCTTGCGTGTTTTATGCGTCACTGTTTTCGATCGATAATAGGCTGCTCTCTAATAGGCGGATCACACATTATAACAGTTTGAAATAATATAATGATTCATATCACCGAGGCTGAGATTGGTGTTCTGGACTCAATTGGCTAGGCTAGACAGGGAAGCAGGACCAATCAAAACTCTAGGCTGCTCGCTTGTATTTTATGCGTCACTGTTTTCGATCGATAATAGACTGCTCTCTAATAGGTGGATCACACGTTATAACAAAAATAATATACATTCAAACCTTACTGTAACTGAAATTTCATCATCATTTGACTAAGTTGATTGATTGTAGTTGTAAGTCTATTAGAAATTATTCGATAAGAATTAAAGTTTATTGACCTTAATCACTTAGTAACTAATTAACTAAGTAGTAGTACTTACTTACGCCTGTTACTCCTCGTGAAGGAGCATAGGCCGCTCACCAGCATTCTCCATCCAACCCTATCCTGGGCAATCCTTCCCAGCTATTTCCAGTTCTTATTCATCTTTTTCATATCTGCTTCTATTTCCCGACGTAATGTGATCTTTGGCCTTCCTCTTTTCCGCTTCCCTTCAGGATTCCAAGTTAGCGCTTGTCTCGTAATGCAGTTTGATGATTTCCTCAATGTATGTCCTATCCATTTCCATCGTGTTTTCCTAATTTCCTCTTCAGCTGGAAGCTGGTTGGTTCTCTCCCACAAAAGGCTGTTGCTGATGGTATCCGGCCAATGGATGTTGAGTATCATGCGTAGACAGCTATTGATAAATACCTGTACCTTCTTGATGGTGGTTGTTGTAGTTCTCCAAGTTTCAGCTCCGTACAGTAGAATTGCCTTGACGTTCGTATTGAAGATTCTGACTTTGATATTGGTTGAAAGTTGTTTTGAGTTCCATATGTTCTTCAGTTGAAGGAATGCCGCTCTAGCTTTGCCAATCCTCCCCTTGACGTCTGCATCTGAACCTCCTTGTTTATCGACGATGCTTCCCAGGTATGTGAAGGATTCCACGTCTTCCAGAGTTAAGTAGTAGTATATTAGGCTTAACTAACTTATGGTAACTCAGTAAATATTCACTTTGATAGTATCAATTCATTTATAATTACAATGAATACAAGTGAATGTACCATTGATGAAGGCATAAAATCATTTTTCTTGTCTGATATAAGTTGTTTCATGGTATTCATATTTGAAACAATTCAGTAACAATATTAGATCACCATTAAAAACCATAAAAGTACTGGATGATCATTTCGTTCTAGTAAGGGACTTTTCATCAGTGTGCATTTACTGAACTGTCCGGTAATATCACTGACTGTGAAGCTGTATGATATGGGAAGGAATCAATCAGGGAACAACAGTTCCCTTAAGATTACATGTATATATATTGATGATGAATACCAATTAGCATGAATACTAGGTTCAAGGTTTTCTATCAACTACTTCCAATCACCATCTTATCTCAACATAGTTGTACGTAATGTCGATTCACCTAGATTGATGACCACATTGCAACTTGGTTGATAGAACTCGATTTGCAATGAGAAGGAGCTTACATACATGACATTAATCATCATCTAGTAATCAATCAATAGTAAATGAAGTCCTAAATTTATCCATGTAGACGAGTAATCTGAAAATTTTAGAAAAGATTATTTTTTTTAAAGTAATTAGAAAGGGGTTTTCTGGAGATTGTAGTAATTGAATGCTTGAATTCATGAGTCAATTGAAGTTAGCCCCCAAATGCCCTGGTACGACCGACAGTGGAGTGGGCCAGCCCTCCCTCTCGAAATACTCTCACACGGCCACACGTATATAGCCTCTGCCAGGGAATTCCTACTCACTGCCTTCTCGTGCCGGGGGTGTTGTCTACAAAAATGAGAGGACGAAAAGCAAATTTGCGACACTTTAACCGAATCGCAAATCAATGGTGTACATTGGCTGGCTCCAGTATCCTGAAGGAACAAATGGTGTATGAACCAATCGTTGGTCACCGGCTACCGTGAGACTGCATCTTCTTACGATGCTCCACTGCCTTGTGGATCAGACCTTAAGGCCGAAGGAAGG